GGTGTGGTGGTGGGTGCCTGTAGTTCCGGATACTCAGGAGACTAAGGCAGGAGAATCGCCTGAACCCAGGAGGCGGAGGTTGCAGTGAGCTGAGATCGTGCTACTGCACTCCAGCCTGGGTGACAGAGCGAGACTCTGTCTCCAAAAAAAAAAAGAATAGGTCCCAATCCTACGGACACTATTCCAAAAGACAGAGAAAAAGGGAATCCTCCCTAAATCATTCTATGAAGCCAGTATCACCCTAATACCGAAACCAGGAAAGAACATAACAAAGAAAACTACAGACCAATATCCCTGATGAACATAGATGCAAAAATCCTCAACAAAATAATAGCTAACTGAATCCAACAGCATATCAAAAAGATAATCCACCATCATCAAGTGGGTTTCATACCAGGGATGAAGGGATAGTTTAACATATGCAGGTCAATAACTGTGATATACCACATAAACAGAATTAAAAACAAAAATCATATGATCATCTCAATAGATACAGAAAAAGCATTTGACAAAATCTAGCATCATTTATGATTAAAACCCTCAGGAAAATCGGCATAGAAGGGATATACCTTAAGGTAATAAAAACCATCTATGACAAACCTGCAGCCAATATTATACTGAACAGGAAAAGTTGAAAGCATCCCCCTGAGAACTGGAACAAAACAAAGATGCACACTTTCACCACTTCTATTCAACATAGTACTTTAAGTCCTAGCCAAAGCAATCACACAAGAGAAAGAAATAAAGGGCATCCAGGACCCGGTGCAGCAGCTCACGCCTGTACTCCCAACACTTTGGGACGCCGAAGCAGGTGGATTGCCTGAGCTCAGGAGTTTGGGAGCAGCCTGGGCAACATGGCAAAACCCTGTCTCTACAAAAAAATACAAAAATTAGCCGGGCATGATGGTGTTCACCTGTAGTCCCAACTATGTAGGGGGCTGAGGCGGGAGGATCGCTTGTGCCTAGGAGGTCAAAGCTGTAGTGAGCTGTGTTTGCACCAAAACACTCCAGCCTAGGGGACAGAGCAAGACTCCATCTCTTAGAACAAACAAACAAATGAAATAAAGGGCATCCAGATCATTAAAGAGAAAGTCAAACTGTCGCTGTTTGCCGACGATATGATTGTATACCTAGAAAACCCTAAAGACTCATCCAAAAAGCTCCTATAACTGGTAAATGAATTCAGTAAAGTTTCAGGGTACAAAATTAATGTACACAAACCAGTAGCACTGCTATACACGAAGAGCGACCAAGCTGAGAATCAAATCAAGAACCCAACCCCTTTTATAGTAACTGCAAAAAAAAAAAAAAAAAAGATAAAACACTGAGGAATGTATCTCACTACAGAAGTGAAAGTCTCTACAAAAACACTGCTGAAAGAAATCATAGGTGACACAAACAAATGGAAACACATCACATGCTCACGAATGGGTAGAATCAACATTGTGAAAATGACTATACTGCCAGGAGAATCTATAAATTCAATGCAATTCCCATCAAAATACCACCATCATTCTTCACAGAAATAGAAAAAACAATCCTAAAATTCATATGGAACCAAAAATGAGCCCACATACCCAAAGGAAGGCTAAGCAAATCTGGAGGCATCACATAACCTGACTTCAAACTATTTTACAAGGCTATAGTCACCAAAACAGCATGGTACTGGTATAAAAATAGGTACACAGACCAACAGAAAGAATAGAGGACCCAGAAATAAAGCCAAATAGTTAAAGCCAACTGATCTTTGACAAAGCAAACAAAAACATAATGTGGGGAAAGGACATCCTATTCAGCAAATGGTACTGGGATAATTGGCAAGCCATGTGTAGAAGAATGAAACTGAATCTTCATCTCTCACCTTATACATAAATCAACTTAAGATGGATCAAAGACTTAAATCTAAGACATGAAACCATAAAAATTCTAGAAGACAACATTGGAAAAAACCCTTCTAGACATTGGTGTAGGCAATGAGTTCATGATCAAGAACCAAAAGCAAATGCAACAAAAACAAAGATAAATAGATGGAACTTAAACTAAAAAGCTTCTGCACAGCAAAAGAAATAATCAGCAGAGTAAACAGATAACCCACGGAGTGGGAGAGAATGTTTGCAAACTACAGATCCAACAACAGGCTAATATACAGAATCTACAAGGAATTCAAACAAATCACCAAGAAAAAAAAACAATTCCATCAAAAAGTGGGCTAAAGACCAATAGACAATTCTCAAAAGAAGATATACAAATGGCCAACAAACGTATGAAAAACTGCTCAACATCACTAATGATCAGCAAATCAAAGCCACAATGTGATACCACTTTACTCCTGCAAGAATGGCCATAATTTTAAAAATTAAAAAATGGGTCAGGTATGGTGGCTCACGCCTGTAATCCCAGCACTTTGGGAGGCCAAGGTGGGTGGATCACCTGAGGTCAGGAGTTTGAGACCAGCCTGGCCAACATTTTGAAACCCCATCTCTACTAAAAATACGAAAATTAGCTTGGTGTGGTGGCAAATGCCTGTAATCCCGGCTACTCAGGAGGCTGAAGTGGAAGAATCGCTTGAACCTGGGAGGCGGAGGTTGCAGTGAGCCGAGATCATGCCACTGCACTCCAGCCTGGGCAACACAGTGAGACTCTGTCTCAAAATTAAAAAAAAAAAAAAAAAAAAGATGTTGGCATGGATGTGGTGAAAAGGGAACACTTTTATATTGCTAGTTGGAATGTGAACTAGTACAACCACTATGGAAAACAGTATGGAGATTCCTTAAAGAACTAAAAGTATATCTACCATTTCATCCAGCAATCCCACTACTGGTTACCTGCCCAGAGGAAAAGAAGTCATTATATGAAAAAGACACTTGTATACGCATGTTTATAGCAGCACAATTCACAACTGCAAAAATATGGAACCAGCCCAAATGCCCATCAATCAATGAGTAGATAAAGAAAATGTGGTATGTACATATACCACAGAATACTACTCAGCCATAAAAAGGAACGATATATTGATCAGGAACGGTGACTCACACCTGTAATCCCAGTACTTTGGGAGGCTGAGGCAAGCAGATCATTTGAGGCCAGGAATTTGAGACCAGCATGGCCAACATGGTGAAACTCCATCTCTAATAAAAATACAAAAATTAGCTGGACATGGTGGCGTGTATGTATAGTCCCAGCTACTTGGGAGGCTGAGGCAGGAGAATCACTTGAACCCAGGAGGCAGAAGTTGCAGGGAGCTGAGACTGAGCCCTGCTGCACTCCATCCTGGGCAACAGTGAGATTCTGTCTCAAAAAAAAAAAGGAAAAGAAAAAACAAAGATATAATGGCATTTGCAGCAATCTGGATGGAGTTGGCTGGAGACCTTTATTCTAAGTGATGTAACTCAGGAATGGAAAACTAAAAATCCTATGTTCTCCCTTGTAAGTGGGAGCTAAGCTATGAGGATGCAAAGTCATAAGAATGACACGATGGACTTTGGGGATTCAGGGGGAAGCATGGGAGGTGTGTGAGGGATAAAAGACTACACACTGGGTATAGTGTACACTGCTCCGGTGATGGGTGCACCAAAATCTCAGAAATCACCACTGAAGAACTTATTCATATAATCAAACACCACCTGTTCTCCAAAAAATGATTGGGGGAAAAAAAAGTATGGTCCTGAGCTGATCACTTTACTGCAAAATAAATAAAAATATGATTTTTAAAAAAGTTGTAAAACAGACAATGTTTTTCCTTTGCTTAAAACCCTTTAATGGTTTTCTAGCACTCTTAGGATCAATCTCAAATTCTTTTTTTTTTTTTTTTTTTGAGATAGCGTCTGGCTCTGTCACCCAGGCTGGAGTGCAGTGGCACGATCTTGGCTCACTGCAACCTCTACCTCCTGGGCTTAAGCCATCCTCCCACCCCAGCCTCCTAAGTAGCTGGGACTAGGGGCGCACGCCACCATGCCCGACTAATTTTTGTATTTTTTGTAGAGATAGGGTTTCGCCATGTTGCCCAGGCTAGTCTTGAACTCCTGAGCTCATGCAATCTGCCCGCCTCAGCCTCCCAAAGTGCTGGGATTACAGGCATGTGCCATTGTACCAGGCCAATCTCAAACTCTTAATGTAGTCTATCAACCTCAGTGTTATTTAGCCCTCTTCTGTGTAATCACTATGTAACATCCTCTAACCCCCTTGGTCTCTGGGTCTCACTGGTTTTTTTTTTTTAGGTCTTCAAACTAGCGATGCTTTTTAACGTCTCAGGATTTTGCACAAGTTGTTCCAGAACCAAAGTTAAATTTCTCTGTAATACACTCTTAAATCATCCAGGGCTGCTGCTTTGTAACACCCATTAACTGTAGTTAATTATTTGTATAATTAAGCGTTTAATGATTATCTTCCCTGCTAGATTATAAACTCCACGAATACAGAGACTCTAGATTTCTAGTTCACTATTTTAGCCTATGTTCCCAAGCACAGTGGCTGAAACATAGTAGCCTTACAATTATTTGTTAAATAAATAAGGGAAAGATAGCAGGTTTAATGAAAAGTCTTTTGATAACATCTAAACTCATCTTTTCAGATTATTAGTTTACCAAATAAGCTATAATCTATAATTTATTCTGAATAATCCACATAATCAGGAAGGAAATATCTTATATAAATGATGATACCAGGTATCCTATCAGGCATAGATCCTCTTAGGAATTAAACTCTATTTTGGCTTATAATCTTTTTTTTAAAAATCTTCTTTTTTTTCCTTTCTTTTTTTTTTGCTTATACTTTTATGAGTACAGTTACGGAGAATCAATCCCTAAATCTTAACTTTTGCTGGTAGAACACAAAATTGGCCTCTAAAATAAAAGCTAGGTTTAGGATTTATAATAACTTATTTCTTTGCTATTATGAGTTAGAATCAGCAGGAAATACCCAGGCAATTTAACAGAATGTGAACCTATATTGCTCTCTGACAAATAGGTCATAAGTGCATTGGAACACCAAGTGCAACTCACCTCTTGAAAGTTATGTTGGGTGAACTTGTCTGCTATCCTTAGCAACTCACGACATGAATGTGTGTCAGCAAAAGCCCGAATGCCCAGGCAGTTAGAAGGATCTAATTGTCTCTTTAAGAATTCACAGCAGGCTTCCTGTATTTCTGCCAGCTGGAGGAGGCAAGCAGCTGGCAGAAGAGTCTGAACATTGCCCTCTTCTACTGTTATCTGGGAGGTATATGCAAAGTCAATCAGTAATTCCATAGCCCTCTCGTCGATGTCGCGGATCACTACTTCTGTCTGACGGCTCTCTGCCAATTCTCCTGTAAACATAGCTCGGAAGTAGGGACTACAGGCTGACAAAATGACTCGATGGGCATATATCTTCTTGGCGCCCACAACTAGCACCACATCACATAGCTCCCGGTGCTTTCTCAGAAGGTTAATCACTTCCAAGGTTTGTCGAGGGTGCTTGTCTGAGATATAGGGCATGCGGGCAGGTTGGGGAACCCCTTCTGGTAGTTTGTTGGGGTCTCCAAGGGTGCAGCGGCTTGTTACATCCATTCCAGTCTCTCCTGGTCGAATGTTGGTACACCTATAGGAATGATGGGGGAGAGAAAGAAGATGGCAGTATTATTATAAACTCTTTTCTCCCCTTAAATGTTTGTAATTCAAGTGATAAGGAAATGTAATTAGCTTGGTGATTTTTTTTTTTTTTTAGTTTTTTTGTAGAGATGATGTCTCACTGTGTTGCCCAGATTGGTCTCAAACTCCTGGGCTCAAGTGATCCTGTTGCCTCCACCTCCCATAAGCCAACATGCCTGGTCTACATAAACCATTTAAATTCCAGCTACTATGGTAATAAAACTTTTAGATAAGGTGGTTATGCTTATCCATTTTAAAAATTAAGCCCAAGTTAACATGCTTCAATTAATAGTTCAATTTTGAATTAAAGACAATCTAAAAAGTTTGGATTGACGGCCAGGTGTGGTGGCTCATGTCTGTAACCCCTGGGAGACCAAGGTAAGCTGATCACTTGAGGCCAGGAGTTTGAAACCAGCCTGGTGAATGTGGCAAAATCCTGTCTCTACTAAAATTACAGAAAAATTAGCCATGTGTGGTGGCACATGCCTGTAATCCCAGCTGCTTGGGTGGCTGAAGCACAAGAATCACTCGAACCCTGGAGGCAGAGGCTGCAGTAAGCCAAGATTGCATCACCGCACTCAGTCTGGGTGACAGAGAGAGAACCTGTCTCAAAAAAAAAAAAAAAAAAAAGGCTGGATTGAAATTTATCTTTACATAGAATCTTTTCCTCAAAGTTTATTGATATTAAAATAGTAAAGAAAATGGCAAGCTAAATGATGATTTAGCAGGACTCCAAAGAGCCTCCAGGTCGATTTTGTTAGACTAATTTGGGTCTAATTTCCTATTAGAGATATTAAATATGATAAGCCTCAATTAAAAGTACTACATATGTCAAACTGCTGTCAAATTGGTCTGAATCACTGAGGTTTCGGTATGATTATAAAATAAATGAATAAGTTCATAAACAGACATTCTTCAATTTATAAGTAAGTAGTATTTAAAAGTTGATTCTAAAAGTTTATTTATTTGGAGGTTTGTATTTTTCTATGGTAAGCGTGCTGTAAATGGGGACTAGGTTTAGTTGTAAAATTCAGTGCATCATAAGAAGCATTGAAAAATGAAATAGAAAGTAACAGCATACATTTCATTAAGTATGTTCAATTGTGTGTATGTACACACACAAATTCATATAGATATGCATCACTGGTTCCCTTTGTAAACTGCAGGTTATATCAAAAAAGTTTAAATGCCACTGCCCTGAGTTTTGAAGTCCCAAGACGCAAAGAACAATAGGTACAAGAAGGGAGAAGGAAAAGAATCTCTCTCTTTTTCAGATTATTCTACAATTTGTTGTTGCTTGGTTTTTATATTTATTAATTTTTTTAAAAATTTTGAGATGAGGGTCTCACTATGTTGCCCATGCTGGTCTTGAACTCCTAGGCTCAAGCAATCCTCCTGAGTAGCTGGGATTAAAGGCACATGCCACCATGCTGGGTTCGTTTTTTTTTTTTTTTTGAGACGGAGTCTGGCTCTGTCGCAAAGGCTGGAGTGCAGTGGCACAATCTCGGCTCATTGCAACTTCCGCCTCCCCGGTTCAAGCGATTCTCCTGCCTCAGCCTCCCAAGTACCTGGGACTACAGGTGCGTGCCACCATGCCTGGCTAATTTTTTGTATTTTTAGTAGATATGGGGTTTCACCGTGTTAGCCAGGATGGTCTCGATCTCCTGACTTCGTGATCCACCTGCCTCAGCCTCCCAAAGTGCTAGGATTACAGGCATGAGCCACTGCGCCTGGCCGTTTTTGGTTTTTAAACAAAAGCTTTAGAGAAGCATGATGGCTCGAGCTAGTATACATAAACTGTAGAAGTCTATAAGTTGGGCATTTCCTGTACATTTAGGTATGTGTTGTCTAAACTTGTGTTAAAGGACATATTTTTTAGAAGCTGCAATAATTATTTTCCTTTAAAATGGGTTCTGGACAAAAAGGTGGTGGAGTATCTGTAAATTGCTCAAATTTGATGAACACTGCCTGTATATATGTATGTGTCTATAAATCTTACAAGTTGGTGTTCTTCACAAGTCTTCAAATATGAAAACTGCCCCTTCTTGCTTGTGTGGAGATCTAGATATGGAATGGAATGGATCATCGGATCATCTAGCATAATGCCCTCCTTTTGCAGATGAAGAAACTAGTTTGGTTACGTGACTTACTCAAAATCATGAAGCTCTCAGTCTCTGGACGCTTTAGGGTAAACCACGCATCTCCTGAGGTACTGTGAATATTTAATAACTGTAATTCATGTGAGTACTGGGAAGAGGAGAGGAAAGAGTTTCTAGGATGATTTAGCAATTCAAAATAAGGTTTTGTTTTGTTTTTTCTTATGGATTATCCAAATTTCTGTACAACTATTTTTAAAAGCCCAAGAAACTACACCAAATACAGACCTTTTTTTTTAGATTCAGTCATCATGAAAAATTTCATCAGTGAAATATCAAGAAGAGTCAAATAATTTGGTAAAAGAAGCCTATAAAATGCATTTCATATTTAAGGGAATAAGCATAACAAAGTGAACTTACGTTATCCCTTTTCTAACTAAAATTAACTGGATGGTCTAAGAAATTTTCAGAATTACTTTTAAGTATTGATAAAATACTTAAAATACTTTTATTATCTTTAAAGTCATTCCAGATAATACATAAGATACAAATTTGTATCTTTTCTTTGCAACAGGGTCTTGCTTTATCACCCAGGCTGGAATACAGTGGTTTGATCATGGCTCACTGCTGCCTCGACCTCCCAGGCTCAAGTGATCCTCCCACTTCAGCCCCCCAAGTAGCTGGGACTACGGGTGTGAGTCACCGTGCCTGGCCTGAAAATTTGTATCTTATATTCATATTTCATATGTGGAAATTCAGGTGTGAAATTACTAGGTAAAAGTCACAAATTACTGACAAATAATTAGAAATAAGATATTTGGATTTTTTTAATCATCACATTACATAAACATGCAGAGCAAAGACAATCTATGACCCTTAATTAAAATAACTATTCTTTTAACAAATACTAATTGCTTTTAATGTACAAAGCATTTTGCTATAGACTGTGGGAAATTCAAAGTAATATAAAGAAGCAATCTCTAGAGGAGGAGATACATGAGTAACCAGTAAGAGGGCAACCAGGACAAAAGATGTGGTTCAAACGTAACAATTTTTGGAGCTAGGCTGAGCCTAGTGGCTCATGCCTGTAATCCCAGCACTTTGGGAGGTTGAGCTGGGGGGATCCCTTAAACCCAGGAGTTTGAGACATGCCTGGGCAACATAGTGAGGCCCCATCTCTAGGAAAAAAAAAACAACAAAAAACCCAAAAACATATATATAATGTATGTGTATGTTTATATATATATATAAAAGAATTTTTGGAGGTGATACATATGTTTAGGACCTCGATTGTGATGATATCATGGGTGTACACATATGCCCAAACTCATCAAAATGCATACATAAAATATGTACAATTTTTTGTATATCAATTATACCTAAATAAAGCTTAAAAGTCATTCAGAAAGGCAAAATCTATGAAGTATTTGTTTAACATCATTCAGAAAGATTCCGGATCTGACAGGTGTCATCTATCAGGTTACCACAAGGGTGTGTCTTTTGTTGTGAAGTAGGAATATTACACTGGGTTTTCCCAGAGCTTAAGGGAAGTGTCTCACATCCATGCTCCAGATCGGTATATTTCTGTTTCTGATTCTTATTAAGCAGTCCTCTGATGGAAAATTCTTCCAAAAGTACCATGCTACTTAAAAGGGGGATGACTCAAGCATTCTGATCACTGAGTTCTAGGTCAGCCTCATGTGAGTCTCTCTCAGATACTAGTCATCTACCACTACTGAGAGAGTCTAATATCTAGCCTGCAAAGGACAGCATCCCTATCAGTCTTCTACTTCCAAAGCTGTAGCACTGACAGGAACTACAGTATAATAAAACACAAAGGTGTAAAAGGAGTCTCCTGAGAAGGACAGAAAAATCCATAAGGACGTTCTGGGAAGAAGAAATTGCTTGTGCATTGCAAAGATATAACACGAAAACAAAAAACATGGTTCTTCTTTTCTTCAACAAGAAGCAATTTTTCCAAAATACTTATACATCTGGTAAAAACATCACTGTTTGTGCTTGGCAATTTTAAAGACTAAAACATAAAGCTGAGCCGTTAAAGAATAATTTTTATCATCCACATAAACAATCAAGAATGCTTTTAACCACAGAGCTAAAATGGTGCCTTGTACATAGTAGCTGCTGAAAGAATCACATGATTAACAGTGGTAAAATCAAGCTTCTTTTTTAAAAAAGTAACAAAGACAAAAGACCAACTCAAAAATTCCTGGAATACTGACACTGAATGCTGAAAGTAAAGTGTTACTGTCACAACCTTAGTTATGTACATAAAGATGCTACTGTTGAACTGAGATATGAACAATTTTTTATTTCACCTAAGTACAATGTGGGTAAACTAAGCTAATGTCTCCGTTTTTCCTTTAAATATACCATAGTGCCAGGCGCGGTGGCTCACACCTGTAATCCCACACTTTGGGAGGCAGAGGTGTCTGGATCACCTGAGGTCAGAAGTTCAAGACCAGCCTGGCCAACCTGGTGAGGCCTCATCTGTACTAAAAATACAAAAATTAGCTGGACATGGTGGCACATGCCTGTAATCCCAGCTACCTGGGAGGCTGAGGCAAGAGAATCGTTTGAATCCTGGAGGCAGAGGTTGCAGTGAACCCAGATTGCGCCACTGCACTACTCTAGCCTGGGCAACAAAAGCAAAACTCCGTGTCAAAAAAAAAAAGAAAAAAAAGCTCTTATTACTGCATTAGTATAGTAGAATCTTTTTTTCTTTTTGTTTTTTTAGAAATAAGGTGTTGCTCTGTCACTGATGATGAAGTGCAGTGGTGTGCTCATAGCTCACTGCAGCCTCAAGCTCCTGGTTGAAGCGATCCTCTCAACTCAGCCTCCTGAGTAGTTAGGCCCTCAGGTGCATAATACCACGCCTGGCTAAATTTTAATTTTTTTGTAGAGACAAAGTCTCTCTCTGTTTCCCAGGCTGGTCTAGAACTCCTGGCCTCAAGTGATCCTCCTGCCTCAGCCTCCCAAAGTGCTGGGATCACAGGTGTAGGCCACCATGCCCCCAGCCATTGGTGTCCATCCATATAATTTTCACTTCAGGAAATATCATTCATCTTTTGTCTTTTTTTCTCAACCATTTAACAATGTAAAAACTAGCTGGGCATGGTGGCTCACAGCTGTAATCCAAGCACTTTGGGAGGCTGAGGCAGGAGGATCGTTTGAGCTTAGGAGTTTGAGACCAGCCTGGGCAATAAAATGAGATTCCATCTCTAAAAAAAAATTTAAAAATTAGCCAGGTGTGGTGACATGTGTGACAGGTGCTTCTTATATAGCTTGCAGAACCGTAAGCCAAGATAAACCTCTTTTTTTTTTTTTTTTTTAAAATAAATTACCCAGTCTCAGGTACTTCTTTACTGCAATGCAAAATGGACTAATACACTATCTAAATGAACATTTCACCTTTCCTACTTCAAAAATTTTGTTTTACTTTGAAAATTAACAACTTGACCTTAAAAAAGATTCAGTTGTACTGATCCTCATTTATAGTCCTAAATATACTTGAACAGAGAGAGCTACAGATTTGGGTATATAAACCCTCAAAACAGAAATATCTCAAAGTGCCAGTGCTGCTTACTAGAAGGGGTCCCAATAGGCACTATATTCTATACTTGATTCCACACCAGAAAGCCAAGCTATTAACCTCTTCATCTGAAAATTGGTTGTGAATGTTTTAGTCCCAAGGCATCTCATCACTGCTTATTGGATAAAATGAGCATAAGCCTTGGGAGCCTTGGTCCAGTGATCGAGACCAAGATGGAGCAGGAAGGGTAAATCCTCATGCAAGCATGCTAGTTTCCCTTTATATCAGGATAGCAAAAGCCTTCCTAGAATACCCCTCAACAACTACTGTTGACATCTCATTGGTAGCACGGTATCACACAGCTCTTCCCATATGCAGAGACAACTAAGAAATCAAGGAGAGTATTTAATTTTCTAGTGTCTATAGTAGGTGGAAGAAAGGAAGAGATGTGCAAGCTAACCTACAGTGCATGCCACACTAGGGAATAGTCAAATCAAGCAAGTATATGTTTTACCACTATTTTTAAGCATACACTTTACACTGACTAGAACAAATTGAAAATTTCAAAGATATGAGATTGGAAATTTTGTCTTCTGCAATTAAACTCGAGTAGCTCAGCTATCCTTCAATGTGAGTAAAAAACTATCAATAAAAACTCTAGATGCTGTTAAATAAAATAAGACCCGAAGCATGTAAAGCTTCTTACTCATTTTAGAGACTTTATGGGGTCTTCCTGCTAGGCCCCACTGTAAACACCCCTGGTACTCACTACAGTTCTGTCCTCAGCATTCTCCTTTTCTGTTCTGCCATCACTTATGCCTACAGCTTAAAGAACCTTCTTAGTACTGATGACTCACATTTTTAAAAAATTTCTAGCCCAAATCTCTCTTCTGCCCCCGACTCATATTCCAATCACATGCTGGACACCTCCACCTGGCTGTTTCCCAAACACAATAGTATTAAAAGTATATGAAACAGAATCTATTCTTGGCTTGCTGAAACCTGTTCCTCTTCCTGTATTTTTCTTTTTAATCTTATCATGGCAGCACCTAGTTTCCTAAGTTTGGAGTCATTTATAACACTACCTTTTTCTCACTCCATGTTCACCAAATCCTTTTGATTTTACTATTATACAAGCTCTCAATTCCATCCTCTTCTCTCAACCCTCACTGCCATAGATCTACTTCAGGTTCTCATCTTCTTTCATCTGAACTACCACAACTAGTTTAAATTCATTTCCTTGCCATAATTTCTTCTCTCTTTCCAATCCATCCCCCATGTGCCTAGAAATCAGCTCAAAGAACAAACGATGTATATAATAATGTCCATTGGCTCTTAAATACCTAAAGTTCGAATTCTTTCCCATGGTTGTAGCCTCAATTTCCATATTTTCTACTTCCCCTTCTTCCCCAAAATACCCTATACTCCACATATACTCACTGTTCCATGCATGTCAGACAATTCTGGGTCTTGGTGCTCTCTCTTTTCTTTCTTTCTTTCTTTTTTTTTTTTGCACAAGTTGTTCCTTCCTTTTATGGTGTCCTTAATTAAGTCCCTTCTTTAGAAGTAAATTCTTATTCTTCCTAGAAGATCCAGCTCAAATATTGCCATTTCTGTGATGCTTCCTCATCTCCACAGAGCAGTTCCCTCCTCTAAGTTTACATCTCTATTAAAATTCTGTTAATGTTTGTTAGTTAATTAACTAATTACATTTTAGAGATGAAGTCTCGCCCTGTCATCTGGGCTGGAGTGCAGTGGTGCAATCATAGCTCACTGCAGCCTCGAACACCTAGGCTCAAGTGATCTTCCTGCCTCCTCCATCTCCCAAAGTGCTGGGATTACAGGTATGAGTCACTGCACCAGGCCAATATTGTATCATGATATCTGTTTTCATCACTTGATCTGTATCACACAATATACAGGTATAGAGTGGTATTATATAAAGGTTTGACATATGAATAAACCAATTTCTACAATCAGGCTCAGTTTTCTACTAATATATTCAAGGAAACTTGGAAAAATTACATTACAAAATATTTGGTATCTCTAAATAAATGAATGATTAAAAAATAATACCTTGGGAAACAAACACATTGTTAGTAAAGACTATGGATTGGTATAACTCTAAGGGCAAAAATTTGTCACTGTCCACCAAAATTAAAAAATGTACATACTCTTTAGGCAATTCTAAACCTAAGAACTTATTCTATTTTTTTGAGACGGAGTCTTATGCTTTCGTCAGGCTGGAGTGCAGTGGTGTGATTTTGGCTCACTGCAACCTCCGCCTGCCGGGTTCAAGTGATTCTCCTGCCTCAGCCTCCCAACTGGGACTGTAGCTGGGACTAGAGGCACACGCCACCACACCCAGCTAATTTTTGTATTTTTAGTAGAGAAGGGGTTTCACCACGTTGGCCAGGATGGTCTTGATCTCTTGATTTTGTGATTCGCCCACCTCGGCCTCCCAAAGTGCTTCGATTACAGACATGAGCCACTGCGCCCAGCCAGAACTTATTCTACACTTACACATTTGGGCAAAAACCACCTACAAGGATATTCATTGCAGACAGAACTGGTTGTAACAGCAAAACAGTTGAAATAAATCTCTCTCAAATGGGACTGGAAAACAAAGGTGCATATAGACAATGGAATACCACATAACTATTAAAAGGAATAAGGTAAGTCTATATGCATTTGTTACAATTTACAAAACAATTTTTCAAGTGAATAAAGATACAGAAGAATGTGCATGATATGCTGACATTAGTGTCTTTTCAAATGCATTTTATTTTCTTATTTTTATTTATTTATTTATTTAAGAGATGGGGTCTCTCTCTGTTACCCGGGCAGGAGTGCAGTGGTGTGATCACCACAGCCTCGAACTCCTGGGCTCAAGTAATCCTCCTGCTTCAGCCTCCCATGTAGCTGGGATTACAAGTATGAACCACTATGCCCTGCAACATTTGTGTCTTTTTTTTTTTTTTTTTTTGAGACAGTGTCTTGCTCTGTTGCCCAGGTTGGGGTTCAATGGTGTGATCACGGCTTACTGCAGCCTCTGCCTCCCAGACTCAAGTGATCCTCTTACCTCAGCCTCCTGAGTAGCTAGAACTTCAGGCATCTGCCACAACACTTGGCTAAATTTTTTTTGTTTCCTTTTTGTAGAGATGGGGTTTTGTCATGTTGCCCAGGCTGGTCTTGAACTTTTGGGCTCAAGGGATCTGCCTGCCTCAGCCTCCCAAAGTGCTGGGATTATAGGCGTCAGCCACTGTGCCCAGCCATCTTCTCTTTTTAAAAGCTACTAATGTTGGCCAGGTGCGGTGGCTCACACCTGTAATCCCAACACTTTGGGAGGCATAGGCAGGCAGATTCCTTGAGCCTAGGAATTTGAGACCAGCCTGGGCAACATGGCAAAACCCTGTCTCTACAAAATAAAAATTAAAAAAATGAAAAGATAAGACATCTTATATATATTTGTGTATGAACTACAATCCCTCTAAAAGAATGCATAAGAAACTGCTTACAGTGGTTGCCTCTGGAGAGAAGAACTGGGAACTAGGGTCAGCAATGGGAGAGTTAACTTTTCACTGAATATCCTATTGTATCTTTTAAATTTTGCACTGTGTATGCAAATGATGGTACATAAATGATGCAATGAAACTTTAATAATAAAATGCCAATTGATTTCATAAAACTTTATAATCAAATATTAGAACACCTTTAACAATAATTTTCAGTCTTTTCTTGTTCATAGATTTTTTTTTTGTTTTTTGGAGGGGTAAAGTCTGCAGAAACTGTTCAGTCCTATTTAAACAATTATTCAGTAATCATTAGGTGCTAGTGATGCAAATATAGGAAGACATGAGACTAAAAGAGCTCGCAATCTAGTAGGCAGAATGAACATGTATTCAAACAGTCTCAATATAAAAAGTTACTTCTCAAAGCTTCTTTAATAGCAGCTGAGTATAAACCCAGCATTACAGAGACTGCCTTCTGGGTTAAATCAGCAAAAATGACAGCCCAACAAGAAAAGGATAGGGAAGTGTGACCATGATTGAAAGTAGGAAGCAGGTAGAAGTAAGACCAGAGACCAATGTGAGTAGGCTAGGCTCTGGCCAAGTGACAGTGATGAAGAAGGAGCTGTAACTTAACAATTAACGGCACTAGAATTATCCAACATGATTTTGAATAGCTGACAGTATTATGTAATAAAGCAAGAAAAAAGGAGCAGGTATGAGTGATTAAGCAAATATTTTATATAGACTACTGATAAACCAAAAACATTCCCACGCTCTGCTATTCTTTTAAAAAATAATAAGCTCTTATTTTAGCAATTACATAAGACATGACATTTTATGGTAGCTGGAGATGAGACACAATCAGTGGGTTCTGCAATAAAGTTAGAATGAAGTGATGAAGCATTTAATATATGTTGTTAATTTTTTCATGTACATTGTGGTAAAATATTATTCCTGCCACAGAATAAAATATAAATAAGATAATGGTATTTTTCACCTTGATAACATCTTTTCATCTGGAAAAAAAGGAGCAGGCATGAGTGATTAAGTAAGTATTTTATATAGACTACTGATAAACCAAAAACATTCCCACATTTAAAGCATTTGCAAATATCCATTAATCCCCAATATCCTGATTAGATACATTAAAGAAGCAAGCTGGGGTACAGAGAAGGTGAACAGCTCAAGGTCAATTGATAAATCAATAAAAGATTTGGAAAAAGATATACATTCTGGTTCTTGCTCCAAGTTCTGAGTTATAAGTCATATTCCCATTATAAAATGTTTCTTCTCTTAAAAGAACTGCAAAAGTTGTTTACCGTTGTTAAATAACAAATGATTAAATAGAGTTCAATAAATAGAAAACAAATGTAAAAACCAAAGAAATAGAACTGGGCTGACTTTGTATCAATAAAGGTTCTAGTCTCATTTGTTAGAACAGAATGAGAAAAAGCATTATTAAATTCTAGGGTTGGGAGGGCCTATTTAATTGTATTTTCCCAGACATTGTTCTATTTTTCTATGGACTAAGTTATTATGTCTAATACCTATTTTAGTCCTTATACAATCTTCCCTGCAATGCAGCTATTTTAATTAACAGAACACATGTATTATTGAACATCAAGGAAATAACCAAAACCATAATTAGGCATGCAGTACAGTGTATTGTAAATAATTATGATTCTTACATGAGAACAGAATCCTCTACATTTTATAGGGAATTGAAGATAATGAATCCACATAGTATCATAATGAACTTAATGATTATTTACTTTAAAAAAAAACCATGAAAAAGGAAAATTAAGTGTTTACATACAATCCACGGCACTTTTCAGAAATTTAACTTCTGTATTTTATTCTATTAAAAAGCGATTAATTCTTAATATTACTTTTGATTTATTGTAGAACAAGACTCATTAGTTCCAAGCAGAATTCAGTAAGATTGAAACTCCTTTTTAAAAATTTTAATTATTACATGCTGAATTTTAATCAGTGAAACCAAAGGTTTTCTTCCTGAATGCCTACCTGCGCATTGGCTTTCCTTCCATGCACCATGAAAAGTACCCTTCACCACACTCTAAAGCCGAACCTAAGACAACAGAAAAGCAGGAACTTAATAAAAGCTATTTCTGATCTTTACAGTAACAATCTTTATCTAATCATTTCACTCATTTCGTCAGTTATCAAGAGTTTCATATTCTATATCACAGGCCTTTTGTAGATGCACAATAACTTAACCTAGTACATTTAAGATTACCATCCGTACTCTGCATGCTAAAACGATTAAAGTAAAGGGGAGGTAAAGTATGCTAAATAGTCCCGACTGTTAGGTCAGTCTTGTTCCTCTTCAAAAAGTGCTTGGAAATATTTAACTGTGATCTCGCCAACAAGTATATTTACAGAGCAATCACCAGATACCCACAGCAGTACTAACCTGATAGATCACATAGAGAACACGCTGCTTTAACAACGAATCTGAAGGTTGTTAACTTGTCCCGAAGTGACAGGAGGAGGAGGAGGCGTCGGCATTTGCCTTTACAAACAACTCCGCTTCCGACAGCCCAGGGAGCTTGAACAGGGCAGGGAAAGTATGGCTCCAGACTAACACTCTTTACATGCATTTCCTTCAGTTCCCGAAACAATGTTCACTACCCACGTAGCAGGATTTCGCCAGGTCCCGAGGGTTAAATGGGGGCGCACAGTACTTTCTTCCTTCCCTGAATTCCAAACACTGTCTGGGGAAGCTGTCCAGGGTGCGGAACCCCAGCACTACCAAGCAGGACACAGCCCAGGGCCTCCTCTGGCTTCCGAGATAGGCTGTCAGCCAGCGAGAGCGCACTCTGGCGCTCCGCGAGGCCCGGCCCCAGCGCCGCAACAGTCTCTTCTCGGCGCCGACAGACAGGCGACCGACGAAGCACAACCCTGACTGACCCCATGGGGCAGCTCAGCAACTTGGCACCACATATTTGCGAAGCGAGCCCTGGGGCGCTGTCCGCTGTCCCCTGCTCTAAGGCGGCTGGCTCACTTACCGGCTCTGACACTTTCTTCTCTGCCGCAGCCTCCTCCGTCTACTCCGCCCTCCACTCCTCTCTGCCTCCTCCTCCACCGCTGCTAGCTCAGGCAGGATGCCGCTCTTAAAGCTATTTCCTTTCCCTTCACCCGCCCATGTCCAGAAGCAGGAAGTAGTCCTATTCTTAAATCGTTCCCGCAGGAAGCCACATACTCCGCCAAGGGGTTCCGGTGCGGCTCCGGAAGTAGTCGTGCCCTTTGTTGGGGCATTCGGGTAACCTCAAAAGCTGTTTATCCTCGTGGGGGTTGTTTGTCTCCCAAGAGTAACCATTTTTAGAGTTCACTACGGAACTGGCAGTGTTTGAATACTGAAGCCTCCTCTTCTTTGTTTTCGTCAGCAAAGGCAGTAGTCAAAGGGTAGTCACAGAAAGCTAAGAATTTTTATCTCTTTTTAGTTGGTGGGTCTCCTTTTGGCACAATGTTCCGAATTGTGGATTGGATTATTGCATGCACACATGGGTTGGCGTGTATCTGTCAGGCCTCTACTATGTGCAAGGTGCAGAAGTTACATAGACAGATCAGAGATAGCCCTTACTCTCCAGATTTCCCACAGTCGAACTTTCAAGACACCAGGATTTTATCCAGGCTCTAAGGCTGTGTTAGTTTGCCCTTTCTACTTAGTATTCACCACCAGACACTTCACCAAACGCATCTTCTGTGGATTCACTTTAATGTTAGGGAGGGAAGAGTATATTTTCTTAAAAAAATTTTTTTTCAGTAGCAAGCAGAGCCAAAAAAGTATATTTTTCAAGTTATCTTTTCCTCCAGATTTTCCCATAGCACACAGTCACCTGAATTTTACTGTATATTAATATTTAGAAAACAAGTGATACAAGTGTAAGGTGGGGATTACTATTTCAGGAATGTCAGAGAAAGACTGTTGATGATTTCCTGATAAGTATACTTGGCTAAGTATTAACCAGATTTTCTTTAACTGTTCTTTATGTAGGATCTACACGGGTTTGTCTAGTTGTTTCTGAGGGGAAAGGATACCTCTTGTTAATTAGCTTGTAGTGGAAAATGCATGGCCTTTAGATCCAGATATAGTGGCCCAGTGGATTCTTCTTGCCTGCTGCCCAGATACAGATGATTTATCAAGGTATAGGGATTGCAATAGAGAAAGAGTTTTACACAACATTGAGTGGAAAAATGGAAGAAGTTTTATTGTTATTCAAATCAGTTATATTATTACTCAAATCAGCCTCCTGGAACATTTGGGGGCTAGGGTTTTTTTCAAAAGTGGTTTGGGGAAAGGGGTAGGGATGGCTAGGGAATGGGTGCTTGCTGCTGACTGGTTGGGGGTGCAGTCATAGGGGTATGGGAGATGGTCCTCCTGCCTACTGAGTCGTTGCTGGGTGGAGCCACAGGAACAGTTGATGGGTCCAGGTGGAGCCATCAGTAGTCAAACATGCAAAAAACTTAAAAATATACCCCAAAAAGCTAATCCTAGATTCTACAATAGTGATGTTTTCTGCAGGAGTAATTGGGGAAATTGCATATCTTATGACCTCTGGAATAATGGCTGGCAATCACTTATGTCTACACTTAACAGAATTCAGGCTCATCTATCCCTCTAGTCTGGTGGTTTCTCATTAGCTTTACAAAGGCAGTTGAGTTTTGGTGAAGGACTATAATTATTTAAACTATTAAACTAAATGTCTCCCAAAGTTATCTTGGCTTAAGCCCAGGAATAATTAAGGACAGGCTGAAAGCTAAAGGCAAGATGGGGTTTGGCTAGATCAGATCTCCTCCACTGCTATAATTTTCTCACTGATAGAATTTTTGCAAAGGGGATTTCAGTTTGCAAAGGCGATTTCACAGATACACATAGGTATAAATCCTAGACCTGTAACTGACTAGCTTTGTGATCTTATTCGAAATTTTTACTGCATGTGTATATGTGATATATATACAGATGCAGCAAAATGATTTCTTTTCCACATTTTAAAACTTTAAATAAATTGTATCAAAGCATATGTATTCTTTCACAACTTCCATTTTCCACTCAACATTCTGTTTGTAAGATTTGTCCATGTTGATCAATGAAGGTACAATTCGGTGATTTTCAAAGGGCGGTCCTGGACCAGCAACATCAACATCGTTTGGAAAATGCCAACCCTTGAGTCCCATTACAGACCTATTGAATCAAAAACTGAAGGTGGGCTCCAGTAATCTGTGTTGTAACAAGTTCTCCAGGTGATTATAGTGCACGGTAAAGTTTGAGAACTACTGCACTAATTTATTTATTTTCACTGCTATATAGTATTATATGAATATACCATAGATTTTAAAAAATGTTTTTTCTGCAGATTTTGACTATTTCCAGTTTTCTCTATTACAAACAGTGCTACAATGTAAATTCTTGCATATACCGCCTTGTGTACACCTGTGAATGTTTCTTTGGTGTGTGCACGCAGAAGCAAAATTGCTGGGTTGTTTGCTATGCACAGCTTCAACTGTATTAGCACTAGTCAAATTGCTCTCTAAAGTCATTATTCTATTTCAATAATAATAATATTACTAGCAAATACTTATGTAGCATGTTATAGTAACTTGTCTTTACTTACACTAGTCCTCTCGAAGTAGGATCTATTATCATTCCTGTCTCACAGATGGCACCAAGGTGTTATGTAAGTTGCCCAAAGTCACACAGCTAGTTATGAAGTAGAGCAAGAACTTAAAACAATACACAATGGCTCTAGAGTCTGTGCTTTCAGTTACAGTGCTGTGTTGTCTCTCCATTACAAGTGTTTGAGGGTTTTAGTTGGTCTATATTATCATCACAGTTGGTGTTTTCCAAATTTAAATTTGTTTTTGCCAATTGGATGGGTATAAAATGGTAATTCACTGTGGTTTAGATGTTTATTTCTCTCATCACTGTTCAAACATTTTTCATATGTGAAAGTGGTATTCAGATTTCCCTTCTATGAATTGCTTATTGTAAAAGATACCTTCAAAGTGACTTTTATTTTTTCTGTAATATGAATTATATTTATAATTCATAGTATAGGTATGAAAATGTTACTATATGATATAAAAATGTTACTAAAAATGCTGCTAACCAAAGACTGATTTTAAAACTCCTGTCTAGCATAAGAGCAGTCCCTCCTATTTCTGTAAATCTGTGGTTCACTCCCCAACCCACTGCAATCTGGTTTGTGCTTCTGCTACTCTGCTTCTTTTTAAAGTGGAGAAGTTCGGTGTGAATCAACCCTTTTTATTTATGTCAAGAACTAGAGAACTCCATTTAGAAATGTGTATATGGTAAACCTGGCATTTGCAGTAATTACAGTTTTTCTGCCACCTGAGTAAGACTATGCCCTACGGGAGCCTGAATTTCTAGTTGAAAATATACATAAAATAGATTTTACTTAGACTGGGTGTGTGAAAGGAAAATATCTTGGGCCCCCCAAATCACTAAGCTAAAGGGAAAAGTCAAGCTGGGAACTGCTTAGGGCAAACCTGCCTCCCATTCTATTCAAAGTCACCCCTCTGCTCACTGAGATAAATGCATATCTGATTGCCTCCTGTGGAGAGACTAATCAGAAACTTAAAAGAATGCAACAATTTGTCTCTTATCTACCTATGACCTGGAAGCCCTCTCCCTGCTTCGAGTTGTCCCGCCTTTCCAGACCGAACCAATGTTCATCATACATGTGTTGTTTGATGTTTCATGTCTCCCTAAAATGTATAAAACCAAACTGTGGTCTGATCACCTTGGGCACATGTGATCAGGACCTCTCCTGAGGCTGTGTCACAGGTGCATCCTCAACCTTGGCAAAATAAACTTTCTAAATTAACTGAGACTTGTTTCAGATTTTTGGGGTTCATGGGTGTGAGGTAGTGACAACAGCCAAATAATTCTTTTAAGGGGTTGCTGAGTTTACCTTATAGTTTTTCAATCAAAAATTATGTCTTGTTTCCAATGTATAAAATACAGTGGTTGAACCTAAGGTTTAGTTGTAGGTGAGATCCACAGGGCCCATTGTTTGTGGAATTTTCATTCTTCTTCTTCTTCTTTTTTTTTTTTTTTTTTTTTTTAAGCAGAGTCTCAATCTGTTACCCAGGCTGGAGTACAGTAGTGCAATCACAGCTCACTGTTGCCTCCGCCTCCTGGGCTCAAATGATCCTCTCATCTTGTTACGGTAGGTGGCTAGCCAGGCATATGCGAGACAGGAGAGGGCTTCCCCCACACCTCACCAGGAATGTCAGGCCAGGCAGTTGTCACACTGCCTCTCTACTACAATAATTGGTTGCAAACAGCACCAGGGAGAGGCAGTTTCCCAATAGATAAAAACACCTGAAACTGGTGGCAGCTTCTCAATAAGATCTCAGGAATTGGGTGAGTGGGCTCCAGCATGTGCATTAAAGGGCAAAATGGCAGAGTTTAGCTGGTATATGACCTTCCGGGGGCATTCCACCAGAATGGGAAGAACGCCTCAATTGAGCATGTGTACAGCTCCAGTAAACATACTCTGCATGCTCCCCTCCCAGGCACTAGCAGGCCATTGCACATGTGGACAACCCACCCCAAGGGAAGAATCAGGGCAGAAGGGATGCAAGACCCCAGAAGTATGCCAGCATATAAAACCCTAAGTCAAAAGGTCAAACTTCACACTTGTTTTCAAGTTGCCTGCTTGGACCTCTTCCAGGTGTACTTTCCTTCCTTTCACTCCTGCTCTAAAACTTGCCTCCGTCTCTTCTGCCTCATGGCCCTCAGTCAAATTCTTTCTTCTGAGGAGGAAAGAATTGAGGTTGCTGCAGACCCACATGGATTCACCACTGGTAACAACTTCAGCCTCTTCAGTAGCTGGGACCACAGGCATGTTCCACCATGCCCAGCTAAATTTTTTTTTTTTTTTTTGTAGAGACGAGGTCTCACTATGTAGCCCAGGCTGGTCTTGGACTCTTGAGCTCAAGTGATCCTCCCACCTTGGCCTCCCAAAGTGCTAGGATTAGAGACATTAACCACCGTACCCAGCAACTTTTTATTCTTGTGGAGACAGACAGTATAAAATTGAACCATGAATTACACAATTAGTTGTTCAATTATGATTGAGGTAATTGAAAGTGATCTACTGGGTGCTAAGAAAACATCTAGTAGGGTGGCTCATGCCTGTAATCCCA